TTTTTTTATTTAGGTTTGGTATGCTTTTGTTTTGCCGGTATTTTGCTTTTGTCGGTACTAAATGTTTGGGAAGATTATCATAAAATTGCAACTGCTAGTGCTTTAATTGGTAATAATTTTTTTCTGCAATTATCTGTCACTGTACAATTTTAGAATTATCTAAGAAAATTGATCTTTGATGAACACTTTAATTAACAAATATATGAGTTGCACAGAAGAAACATTTCTGGCAAGGCTTGATCTTACTTTCAAAAAAAGTTGCCTAATTAATTCGTTTTTTACAATAAAATGGAGTTTTACTTTTAGGTTATGTATATTGTGAAAGAAAACGAACAAATGAGTCTTTAAAGCTTGAAAAAATTTATAAAGGTTCATTTTTAGGTTACGCAACCGAAAGTGGTTTTGTATGGTTTGCGTATAAACTATATACAACAGAATTATATCCAACTGTAATCCGAACTACCGCACTGAATGTATTTAGTACAACAAGTCTTATTGGAAGTGTTATGTCGCCGCAACTTGTTTATCTTTCTGTAAGTTGTAGTTTGCCAGAAACAGCTACTTTAAGATTTATGGACAGTTTTAGGTCAATTATTTCTTACAAAAATAAATGATAGGTTGAATCTATAACAATTAATAACTGCTCTAGAAGTTTTGGCATCCGGCACCATATTTTGGAGCAGCAATAATAACACTGTTGGCAACAGTATTTGCTCTTGTTCTACTTCCAGAAACCAAAGGGATTCCTCTTCCCGATACTTTGTTAGAGGTATTTGCAAAGCAATAACTGTAAAGATACATCAGCGATAGAATTGTGCGCTATGAACAATTCATTTGATTAGTAAAAAGAATTAATTAATTTAATATATAAGAGATTTTTCATTATTTTCTTTTTTCACTTCTAATTATAAAACTTACTTTAGGCTGAACAGGAAGACAGATATAAGAAAAAACTGAAACATCGGCAGCAACACTTCAATGTTAAATCAAATGCTGCTTTGCTAAAAGATGATACAAAAGCTCAAAATGATTCATTAGATCCAGAAAAGTGATTTTTCACTATTGATAATATTTGTATGAAAAATGAATAATTTTTCTACTTGGCTTTTTTTATAAAAGTAATAATTATTGCTCGTTGTTCTGAAGAGGCTTTTTAAGTGTTGTCTAAAATTAATGTCAGTTTTTTCTGCTAAAGTATTTGTATAAAAGCTCAGTAATTTTCAGTACTTTTTCTTTGCCTACACTTTTGCAGAGTCAAATGTAAGGGAAAAGAAGGCTCATTATAAATGAACTTTCAAATTTTAAATATTTCTTAGTTTTATGTAATTTATAACGCTTCAGATATGCACTGTTTAAGTACGATCTACAAAATTCTATAGACAAGTGTGTTTGTAATTATCAGTCTAATTTTTGTAACTTAGACAGATCGGCTTAAGTGGACTTATCTAAAACGACATTTGTTGTGTATTTTCGTCAGCAGTGCAAAATCTGTCTAATAAATATGCCAAAATGCTATTGCTGCTGAGCCACTGGTTGTCTAGACTTGTTGGTTCTGTGATCAAATGAGTCAATACAATTAATTTCACCACTGAAAACATTCTTTTTTTGTCATGAAAACAAAAAAGTAAAAGAAAATTAAACATCTGAAGCGGAAAAACGAAACAATACTAACTGACAGGGGAAGAGGAAACCGAAAGACAATGATTGCTACCAAACAACATTTGCACAATTTTGGCGAAGTTGATAATTTTGACAAGCGAAACAAAGTAAAAAAACTGCTTTATCTATAATTTCTTACATAACTAAGAAAAACAAGAAATTATCGGCCAGCAAGACACTTAATTGAAAAAGTATTTTTTGGTAACATTATCTGACCAAACTAATTCCTTGCGTCAACCTCTGGTTAAGTTTTAAAATTCGTGCCAAAAAATCCGTTGAAAAAACTGCTAGGTTTATTCAGTTTGAAGAAGATAATTTTAAGACAGCTGAAAAAAGAGAGAAATAAGATTCTGCTGTTTGATCAGCAAAATTAAAATAGATGTGAAGAAATTTATTGCATTGTACTTAATAAGACTTGAAGTTCTTTTGTAAATTTCAAGTTTTTGATTTTAAAGAAATGCTGAATTTGTAAAAAACAGCTAAACTAGTTTATTTTGAACTGTAACCTTTGTAACGGTATTAACAGTGTAAATTAAAATCTTTAATTTAACAGAAAATGTTGCTTTAGAAAATGTTTAAGATCAATTTTTACAATTATAAAAAACAGATTTATGCCTAACTGTTGTAAATGAACGAATTCTGTGATAAATTGATCGTGTTTTTAAGTGGTCATTAATCAGTTAAAAGTCAATAATTTCAAAAGCTTCTATTCAGATTTTGCGTTTTTTTTATTTAATCTAATTTTATTCAGTTAAAACAGTAGGTCTGTACTCTGTACTATTCAAGTCTAAATGTTCGTTAAGTTATTTTATTTGTAAGACTAGACAGTATTAGATGCAGAAAAATTGTACAAATCTTAGTTGCATAGCAACTTATTGTTGCAGGTTTGCAACGTAATTTTTTTGCTCTCGTATAGATTCAGGCTACAGATTATCAGTTGTAAAAACGAAAAAAAAAAAATTTGAGAAAAATTTGATTTGCAAATGATAGTCTTTATCTTTTTCGTAGTTCGTTCTAATTTTTACTGAACAACAGTCATTGTATTTGATTCCCCTGAAAAATTACACCAATTTTTTTTTCATTTCTGCATGTTCTCAACCTTTTGCTTTACGAAATGAGGGTATGATAGCAAAACACTTCGCAAGAGTGTTTATTGAACTGTTGCAATTCTGCAGCAATTTAGTAACTCAAAAACTTACTTATCAAAAAAGAAAATGTCTTGAAAAAAACTTGACAACATTTGGGAACAAGGTTTCATGTACTAAAAACTAAAATAAAACAACTTAAGTTATATTTTTTTACGACTACTTTTATTCTTTTATAAACTCTTAAATTTACACTGATTAGTCATTGTAATCTTGTCAACTCTTTTTTCCTGCTATTCTGAGTTTACCGATTTTTCTA